AGCAGTGAGAATGATCATCCATCCCAGGAGAGAGTGTGTGTGTGTGTGTGTGTGTGTGTGTGTGTGTGTGTGTGTGTGTGTGTGTGTGTGTGTGGGGATAATCTCCTCCACAGTAGAGACATCATCTGTGCATTGTCTCCATTTTCTCTGTTTTAATCCTGAAGATGTTCTTTGGGTTGATTTTCGGTCACAGACGTTTAAACTGTGAGGTAGCTGCACTCAGTGACTCACCTGTCACAGGTGGAGATGATGGGAGATGAGAAACAGCAGGTCTGTGTTGTTAGTCGGTGGCTGAAGATTTTTGGGTTCCTTTACAAACGGCACATAATTCCCCAGAAATGATGCTAATCAGGAGTGAAATGTGAACACGATGCTTTATTTCAGGGCAATAAATCAGAACCATTCTAGTAAAAATGAGCCGTCCTCTGAGCTCACAAATAACACTTTGCTGTGAGCTGCATTGTCAGCCTGCTGCTGGCTTGATTACAGCAGGGATGTCAAACACTGTGGGTCAGACCGAAGAAACTCTCCTTCCAGTCAGTCTAATGAAGTTTAACAATGCATTAACTACTCACTATAAAACCAGAAAATTCTACAGTAGGTGGTTAAAAACGGGGACTTTTCTTTCATGTAACTGTCTATTTATTACTTCATTACATTGATGTAGTGCAGGGGTGGGCAACTCCAGGCGTTGAGGGCCGGTGTCCTGCAGCTTTTAGATGTGTCCTTGAACCAACACAGCTGATTTAAATGGCTAAATTATGTCCTCAACATGTCTTGAAGTTCTCCAGAGGCTTGGTAGCAAACTAATCATGTGATTCAGATGTGTTGACCCAGGGTGAGATCTAAAACCTGCAGGACACCGGCCCTTCAGGCCTGGAGCTGCCCACCCCTGGTGTAGTGTGAGTAGTCATGGGCAAGGTCTTAACCCAACCCATGACTACCCCAACCCTACCCAAAAGAAAAAACTTGTGAAACTTATGAAAATACATTAAAAAGTTTATGCCCTCCTTCCCATTTTTTAATGAGATCCCGTGGGCCGCATTTCAGTCTTTGCCGGGATGATTCTGGCCCTCGGACCTTGTGTTGGGAACCCCAGGATTACAGTTTCATGAACCAGGGTTTAACCATGGAGGCAGCAGATGAGAAGATGGAGCAGTTTGGGGGTTGGCCGAGTTTTAACGTAACTGTAGGTTGGTGCTCTGATCCTGTCGAGCTTCAGGAAACCGAAATCAGAATGATCTCTAACTTTAAAGATTTAAAGTTAAACTCAGCATAGAGTTTATTCTGGAGACAGAGCCCTGAGTTTACACTTGCTGGGGTCTTTGTTTAAAC